TGAGCGAATCCATGTCCTCGAAAGGAAATCCAATAGAGCGCGATCCGTACAATCAAGTTTAAGATCTGGGCGCGGCAAATCAATTTCCTCTAAGGCAAGTTCATCATCGAAACATTCCTTATCTCTTGCTCGCGTAGATGCGGCCACCAAGGCAGCCAAATTAGAAGCGGAATTGCAATGTCTTGACCAGGAAAGAACGATAAGACGTTTACAATTAGAAAAGGAAATTGCTATCGCGAACGCTCAAGAAAATGCAATTAAAAGAATTATCAATGAGGAGAATAGTGTTAACGGAGAAATCAAAGGTGTAAAGACAGAGATAAAAACTGGCAATAGCGTTAAATGCGCAGATTTAGTCTTAGATCCGAATTCAGCCTCGTTTACCCCGAAGGCACCCTCGTGTTCACCCAATATCCCCTCTCAGCCTGTGACGCAACAAATTTCAGCCGAATGTACCTTTAATTCAGCATTCCAAGAGATAGTTGACTTGCAAGCAAAACAGACTGAACTAAATTCTTGTCTTATTGATCAGCAAAACGCTATTAATCTTCCCGTTAAAGAGCCACCTACGTTTTCTGGTGACCCCTTTGAATTCCCCGCATTCTCCACAGCCTTCGATTGTATTATCTCGGAAAGAGTTTCGTCTGACCGTGATCGTTTGTACTTCTTGGAAAAATACACAAAAGGCAAAGCAAATGAGATTGTCAAAGGCTTTTTAGCGGTGGCTTCAGAAAACTCGTACAAAGAAGCTCGTAAACTTTTAGAAGATAGATTTGGAAATCCCTTGCATGTAGCAGAATCTTACAAGTCTCGTTTACGAAATTGGCCACAGATTAATGACACTGATAATAAAGGCTTGCAAGACTTCTCTGATTTCCTAGTACGTTGCGAAGAAGCTGCAAAATCTGTCAAATGCATTGGCGAACTTGATTCTGCGCATACGATACGTCAACTTTGTGCAAAATTGCCTTCGTTTTGTGCTGTGAAATGGTGCCGGAAAGCCCGTGAGATTAGAGAGAAGTCTTCCAGCACTATCAACGCGACCTTTTGTGACTTCGTAAAGTTTGTGAAAAGAGAGTCGGAGCTTGCCAATGACCCAGTTTTCTCGCTAAACGCAATTAAGACGGAAAGAAAGCGTGGCTTCAAGTTGAACGAGAGAGAAAATGGAAAGAAGCCAGCTCTCCCTAAAAGAGGTCATGGTTCATTTGCTACGTCTGGCGCAGAACAAACAGAACAAAACGGGCAGAAGACGTTACGTTGTTCATTATGCGAAGGTTCTCACAGCCTCATGAAGTGTCGAAAGTTCATCAATAAACCTGTCGAAGGTCGTAGTGAGTTCATAAGAAGCAATGGACTTTGCTTCAGATGTTTCGCGAAGGGTCATTTATCGAACCGCTGTCCCAACATTGCTGCGTGCAGCGAATGCGGAAAGCGACATCACACTCTGCTACATGGAGCAAAACCAAAGACAAAGAAAGATTCGCCTTCGAAATTTGATGAAACGAAGAGTAGTAATAAACCTGAAGATAAAGAAAAGGAGGAAGTTCTTACTAGTAAGGATAATGCAAACGTCAGTGCTACACACACCAATACGAACAGTTGTTACTATACTACCAATTCTAAAATCGTCCCAGTCATCTTGTCTCACAAGGATAACCCCGAAAAGGAAGTCAACGTCTATGCTCTTCTGGACGATGCAAGTGACACTACGTTTATAACGAACAGTGTTCAACAAAGGCTCGGTGTTTCTGGGGTTGACACAAAGTTGAATTTGAGCACCATGCTTGGCCGTGAAGAAATCTCTGCGTGTAAAGTCGAAGGTTTGGTTGTACGACGGCCAGATAAGCGTGCGCATGTGGATCTACCGAGAGTCTACGCCAGAGATAACATACCCTGTAGACGGGACCAAATTCCTACGCCAGAAGTCGCAGACAAGTGGCCGCATTTACGGAAAATTAAGGATAAAATACCTCCGTGTCAAGCTGACCTTCAAATTGGTCTTCTGATTGGGTGCAACTGCCCGAAAGCAATCAAGCCAAAGGAAGTGATCTCAGGCAAGGGAGAAGAACCATACGCTGTAAGAACGCTCCTTGGATGGTGTATAGTCGGACCTGTCGCCTCTGCCTCTGAATCAACCGACAATGTCGATATTGGCCCCTCCACTTGCAACTGTATAGCTACTCGTGAAGTCCTTCCTGAAGCTCGTTTGGGACCGACGTTCGCCCTGAATACCTCGACGAAAGAGGAAATCAACCCATCGGTCGTGAAGCAACTCTTTGAACTCGACTTTTCGGAGAAACATTCATCAAACCTAAGCCTATCGAGAGACGACAGAAAATTCCTTGAGATTGTCGGGCAAGGTATTCATCAACTTGATAACAATCACTACGAACTGCCATTGCCCTTGAAGGATGGAAATATCAACCTTCCAAATAACAGAGATGTGGCCGTGAGGCGGATGAATCACCTCAAAAGAAAGTTTGAGCGAGATGCCAACACAAAGTACCGAGAAGATTACGTTGCCTTCATGGGGAAAGTTATTGAGAATGGATTTGCAGAAAGGGTGATTGAAGATTGAAATCATAGCGAACGAGAAAATACGAAGGGGAAAATTTGGTATATTCCTCATCATGGTGTATACCATCCGAAGAAACCTCAAAAAATTCGTGTCGTGTTCGACTGCGCAGCACAGTACCAAAACGAATCGCTGAACAAGCATCTGCTGCAAGGTCCCGATCTTACCAATAATCTTACAGGAGTATTGTGTCGGTTTCGCCAAGATCCAGTTGCCTTCATGTGTGATATAGAAGGGATGTTCCACCAGGTCAAGGTCAACGAAGAACATCGCGATCTTCTGCGATTTCTTTGGTGGGAAAACGGCGATACTGCCAAAGAACCAGATGAGTTTAGAATGACGGTGCACTTGTTTGGTGCAGCATCATCACCTAGCTGCGCAAATTTCGCCTTGAAAACGACCGCGAACGATAACGAGAAGGCACTTGGAAGCGCAGCAGCTGATTTTCTTCGAAAGGATTTCTATGTTGATGATGGTCTAAAGTCCGTGCAATCGGTGGACGAAGCGGTGAACCTGATCAAGAACACCAAGGAGATGTGCAGTCGTGGAGGATTCAACCTTCACAAGTTTGTGTCCAATAACAAGGACGTTGTTCGAAGTATACCGGAATGTTACAGAGCAGATGCGGTGAATGAAATAGATCTCGATTTGGACTCTCTGCCAATCGAACGAGCGCTAGGTATCCAGTGGTGCGCAGAGTCGGACAGCTTCCAATTTCCAATCGTGCTTGAGGCGAAACCGTGCACAAGAAGAGGTATACTGTCAACTGTCAGTTCAATATTCGACCCAATTAGATTCGTCGACCCCCTTCTGCTTGAGGGAAAGTCAATTCTTCAAGCACTATGTCGCCAAAGCATTGGTTGGGATGACGCTGTGCCGGACGAAGCAAAGTCGAGATGGGAAGAATGGAAGTTAGATTTGGTTAGAATGAAAGGTTTTTCCATACCGAGATGCTATAAACCTCTTGATTTTGGTCGCGTAGTCAGGACTGAGCTTCATCATTTTTCAGACGCCAGCGTGGTAGGTTATGGTCAATGCAGCTATCTACGATTTATTGATGAATGTGATCTTATTCATTGCGCCTTCGTGATGGGGAAGTCGAGAGTAGCCCCGTTGAAATCGGTAACCATTCCACGATTGGAGTTAACGGCCGCGGTCTGTTCTGTCAGAGTTAGCGTCCAGTTGCGTCATGAATTGGATTTGGAAATCGACCAGGAAATCTTCTGGACAGACAGCAAAGTGGTGCTCGGCTACATTGCAAATGAAACTCGGCGTTTTCATATCTTCGTCGCCAACAGAGTGCAAGAAATTCAAGATCATACCTCAGTCGATCAGTGGAGATATGTGGAGTCGAAATCAAATCCAGCGGATGAAGCATCTCGCGGAGTGAAAGCTAAGGAAATTTCAGAATCCAAGTGGCTTTCTGGACCATCGTTCTTGTGGAAACCAGAAGAACAATGGCCATCCAACAACCAGGAGAATCAGCACATTCGCGAGCTGAGCTCATCTGATCCGGAAGTCAAGAAAGCCGTCGTTTGCTCTACCTCGAGAGTGGATTCTGATGAAAATTCGACTGGTTCTCTTATCGAAGATCGACTGTTGTACTTCTCTGATTGGTATCGAGGAAAGCGAGCAATAGCCTTATGTCTCCGCTATGTGAGAAAACTTCGCGCACGAGTTCAAAGAAAGAAATCGGAGGCATTGACGTTACCTGAACTCACTGTCAGCGAATTGAGCGCTGCAGAAAAATTGATCATTCGTTCGGCACAAGCTACTGCGTTTTCTGAAGTCTTAACTGCGTTGAAGAAAGATACAGCTGCTAATCGGGACGTTAACGTCAATGCTAAGAAGGGTACCAACACACTACGCAAACTCGACCCGTACCTCGACGAAGAAGGGATCCTGCGTGTCGGAGGGCGTTTACGACGCGCGAACCTATCGGAGAAAATTAAACATCCAATCATCTTACCCCGCAAAGGTCACGTGATGTTGGGAATGCCGTTAGAGGCTATGTTGAACCAACACAATCACAATTATAGTTTAACTTTTAATAATAAAGAGTAAAGTAAAGACGCCAATTCACTTTCCCTATCGCAATCCCTTATTGATACTCTCCAGTTGAACGTCACTTCCAATCTGTTTTCAATCATCCCAATTCCTTACTTATCATTGTTCCTCATGCAGTGTTAATTATCCCTATGGCATTTGCATGCATTATGCTAATTATCATATATCCGCACAATTTCCAACACACTCCCCCTATTCGATTTTCGAAGAAGCGAATATGAAAAGTTGTGCTTCGTTCAGTATTCACCGTCCCAATAATTATTAACTTGATTTGATTCTAATTTTAACGTAACTGTTCGAAATATATGTTTAAAACTAAAGCTCTAAGTTCTATACTGTCTTTCGTGTAAGACCAGATCTACTGATCTTCGTTTGCCACAGTATCTTGGATTCGCAATTCTGCAGCCACAGCGGCATCTCGCTTTGGTCTGAATACTTCAGCTTCGGGGCGTAGGATCGGTCCCTTCTTTTCCGGTTTGAATATGTCACAACTTAGTTCTAAAGGGTAGAGATGTTGCACGGCACGTTCCAGGTGACCTTTACCCGCCCTCAACTTCGCCACGCGTACGACACCGTCTCGGATTAGGTTTTCGACTATCCCAAGTTTCCATTTGTTCCGATCTCGTTCGTCTGATTTGATAATGACTACTTCACCGACCTTCAACGTGAATTGCTTGTTGTTATGTCTCAAGTTGTGTCTTTCTCGCAGCCCTTTTAGGTATTCATCGGTCCATCGTCGCCATAACTTGTCCTTGCATTTCTCCAGACGTTTAGCTGTTTTTCGCAAATCCCTTTCCTCTACTTCATGGTAGTCTTGCGTTGGGATATTGTTTGGTCTATTGTGCATCAGGGTGTTTGGCGTTAACAGCGGCAATTGAATGTCGTCTTCTACGTAGCTGAGAGGTCTGTTATTCAAGGATACTTGGATGTCAAGAAGATGGTCTTGCAATGCATTCCACGTAAGCAAGGTGCCTCCTCCAGTCTTATATAGCGCTTGTTTGACCAGGCCAATGATTCTCTCGTACTGACCGCCCCACCATGGGGCTCTACTGGTGTTGAACTGCCACCTGATCTCAAACTTGGAGAGCCAGTCATGTAGGCGTTCATCTTTCATGATATTCCTCAGCCATTTCGCTGCCGCCGCGAACGTCTTGGCGTTGTCGGAATAAATTCTCTGGGGACGTCCTCGTCTTGCTACTAACCTCTTCAAACTTCGCACGAATTCGCTTGTTTCTTGATTTGGAAGAAGCTCCAAATATGTGGCTCGAGTGAGGCTGCAAGCATACAGGATAATGTATGCCTTCCCTTCGCGTTTGCTCTTCTTAAGGTACTTTATCGGACCTGCGTAGTCTACGCCGACCACTTGGAACGCTGTGTTCCCTTCGGTCCTATCCCTTGGGAGGTTTCCGATTGGTGGGTTTGCCACTGCGATGGCACGGAATCTCTTGCACGTATGACAACTCTTTGTCACTCGTTTGACGATGTTTCGCAATCGAGGGGTCCAGTATTTTTCACGAAATTTCGCCATTGTCATCCCCACTCCCCCGTGACAGCTAAGCTTGTGGGCATGTTCTACGATCTTTTCAGTCAAGAGCTCGTTGTCTGGTAGGTAGATAGGGAAATGACCTTGGATTCTTCCTTGACACTCGTACACTCCTGCTTCGTTCTGCTGAAGATTCAGTTGCTCTCGATCTTCTTCAAATTTAGCGGTTCCTTCGTTACGCGCCTGGATCTTCTTCACCCAGAACTTGACTTGTTCGCTGGTTTCTTCTGTTGTCAAAGGACCGGTGTTCTTGTTCTCACGACCGTCTTTCGCGTTGTCCATGAATCGTTTTGCTGTTGCTGTAATTCGTATCGTTTTCCAAAACTCGAATTTCTTAAGAAGCTGATCTAATTCATCTTGCACTGGTACCGTCAGTGAGAACAATTCCTTGACTGCTTTCGTTTCAGCTTGCGTTTCTGTTGTTTCTTGCGTTTTGATGTTCAGAGGCCAGTTGTCTTCGTCGTTCAACCAGTCAGGGCCGTTCCACCACAGCTTGTCTAATTTGCTTACGTCACTTCCTCGGCTGGCAAGGTCCGCTGGGTTGTCGCGTGATGTTACGTGTCGCCATTGAATATAGTCTCGCTCCTGGATTTTCTTTACTCGATTTCCCACGAATTGTTTTAACTCTCCATTTCCCCTGATCCAATGTAAGGCCACGGTACTATCTAACCATCCGAATACCTGGCTCACCGGAAATCCTTCCAATGCTTCTCGGACGTTGTCAACGAGGTTGGTTGCCATGTGTGCTGATACAAGCTCCAAGCGGGGTATTGTAAGGTTTTTCTTGGCTAACCGCGACTTTGCAGCAACGAGACCTTGGGTTGTGCCACTAGCTTGTCGGACCACGGCTATCACCGTTGCTCCCACTCCTTGAATACTCGCATCACCGAATGTGTGCAACCTGATATCCTCAATTGGCTCCTGGAACTTCGCTAGACTCCTTGGCGCGGCTACGTTCTCTGGTAGGCTTTTCTCCCACGCCGTCCATCTAGCTTCTAACTCACAAGGCAGTTTGGCGTCCCAGGGGACCTTCGAGTCGCAACAGTCGCGGTAGAGGAACTTCCCTTGCAGAGTAATGGGCGAAATCAACCCGAGGGGATCATAAACTTTCGCGATCTTCCCGAGGACTCCTCGCTTCGTCGGACTTGCTGGGTCAGCAGGAAACTCGATTTTGATTTCATCTTTGTCTTTATTCCATGCGAGACCAAGTATTGCTGATTGACCTGGCTTTGTGCTGAATTGTTGTTTGGCAAATGTTTCGTCTCCTTGCAATTGGGACGACTCTAGCGACTTTGATGATCCTTCCGGATTTGTGGGCTTCGTCTCTTCGCTTTCGAGCTCTGCTATGTTGGAGTGCCATTTATATAATTTGAACGTAGCATCCCGAAAGATGTCAATGGCGTTCTCCTTTAGTCGCTTCACTTTCTCTACAGAATCACCACCGCTGACCAAATCATCAACGTACATACTCTTCTTGATTTCTGTCACGACTTCCGGATGATGTTGCTGATAATTTGTTAGATGTTGTTGAATAACGCCCCCAAGGAGGAAAGGCGAGGGCGACAACCCGAACAACGCTCTGGTGAATCGAAATGTCACTACCTCTCTCGACTTTAAATCTTTAAACCAATGAAAACGCATTGCATCACGATGTTCTTTTCGGATGCGTACTTGGAGGAATGCTTGTTTAAGATCGCCAGTTAGGCCAACGGGGTGGAATCGTCCGCGAACTAACACTTGCCAGAGATCGTTTTGTAGAGGGGGTCCTGTTTGGAGACATTCGTTCAAGAAAGGCGCTTTCTCGTTTTCACGTGCCGAGGCGTCGTAAACGATTCTCATTTTGGTGGTTTCTGCCGATTCTTTAATGACTGCTTTATGTGGTAAATAAAACTCTTTACCGACTGCCTCCGGTTCTGCTACCTCTACGATACCTTCCTGCGCTTGCTCCATGATGATTTTATCATACTTCTCCAAAATATCTTGCTTCTCTAGCTTTTTCACTAAATTGTCTAGTCGCTTTAGGCTGCCTGTCTTGTTACTAGGTAACGGGGGGTGGTTTCCCTTCCACGGCAGGTCGGTCTCGTACCAACCCTCGCCACTGCGCGACAATTGTTCCTTAAATTCGTTATAAACATCATGTTGATCGCCCGTAGCTGAATCTTCGAGACCTAGAACATCTAGCCTACAAAGTTTTTCATATTCCTCACGATGTACTTGAGTTGAAAACATGTTGTTCAGATCAATCTCTTTGCCGGGGGACATAATCGTCCAGCCAAACTTAGTGAGCTCTGCAACCGGCTCACCGGGAGAACCAACCCTTGGTTTTGTGGCGGTTTTAATTTTTGAATAGTCCCCAGTCCCTAGAATTAAATGGACGGGCAGCCGCTCCTTTTGATCATTATCGTGCATATTTATGCCTTGCAGGTGGGAATGATTAGCAATAATGTCCGCATATCTCGGATTGTCTAAAGTTAATAGTTCATTCCTTTCAACACGTGTCACTTCTGTTTTAATGTTGAATTTATTGTTTGTTTCGTTTACCGTGAGATCATAAATTTTTACGTTCCTTGTCGCTATGCCAAACATCATTTCAACGCGCCAAATTTCTTGCTTTTTAACTTTGGCTTTGATCGTGTCTAAAAGCGCTGACGAAGCGTATGAACTGCCCGCCCCTGTATCGATTAAAGCGCAACATTTTACACCATTCACATCAACGATCACAGCAGGATAAACGACTGGCTTATTAGCATCGGTTGCGGTATTAAGCAATCTGTCGCGCTTCGGCTCAGGTGGGGGTGGCGATTCACTTGGGGCGTCACAAATTGAGGTGTGATGCCGGCGCTTACATTTTGTGCAACCTGCTCGACTACGACATTCGCCCGCACGGTGGTCTACTCCGGTGCAGTTGAAACATAGACGTTTTTCGCTTAGGCACTTCTTACGTTCCGCTGACGTAATTAATTTTGTACAATTGACAGACGCATGACTTGTCTCATTACAATACGCGCACCGTCTCTGTTTTGTGTCACGCTGATGCGCCTGGTATGCATTTGTTCTGCCAAAACTCGCGTGCTTATCTGGCTTATCGCTTTTATCACTAATTCTGACAGGATTCCTCTCCGTCCATTTCCGAAGCGCGTCTGCCAACTGCACGAAATCCCACTGGCGCCAATTATCGTCTGTTCTTACTAAATCGTTTCTGATTCCTTCTAGTTTGCATAAGCATAGTCGCGCATAACCATTAACTTCCTTTAGCTTACCCAGCGTTTCTAAAGATTGCACGTTGAACGAAAGCTTACTATAAAAATCATGGATCTTACCGGTGTTTGTTCCCTGGATAGTTGGCAAATTCATTATATTTTCTACGTACGCGTTCACAATTTCACTTATTTCACCATACTTTGTCTTCAAGATATTCTTCGCGTGTTCGTAGCCTTCTGTTGAGAACGGTAGCCCATCGATATGAGACTTTACTTTTGGATCCACAAGCTCTTTTAAATAGGAGAATTTTGTAACAGGTGCCACGTCAGCCTTGTCAACCTCGGCTTCGAATTGGTTCCAAAACCGCAACCAATCTACCGGCGTTCCGTTGAACTTCGTTATTATAAGCTTTGGTAACTTCGCGTTCTTACCCTGCAATTTCCCTTGTTCGTTGCGCAACTTTTCCATCTTCATCTCGTGCTGTGTTTGCTGTTCCAATTTTGCTTTGTCGTATTCTAACTGTTCCTTGAATAAGTCATGCCGTTCCTTTGCTGCTATTTCTTGTTCACGCGATTTCGCCTTTTTGTTGTCTTCCCGTTTCCACTCCTGCGTAGTTTCCAAAATGCCCGCTATTTCGTTGTCCCATGATTCGAGCTCCTGTTCTATATTTTTTGTCCACGATTGAATTTCGTCCTCATTGTCGTCCTTCTGAATTCTTATCTCTTGTACTTGCACTTTAAGTTCGTAAATTTCATCCGCCGCTTTCCTCATCGTATTCCTTTGACGTTCGATGCTCGCTACGTTCCGATTTTCTATAGCCCTCTTTATTGTATCACTTGTACTTAAGATCACTTTACGTTTCGTGTCGATTCGCTTTACTAACTCTTCCATTTCTCACAAGATCCCGTCGGAGGTGCCACTTGTGTTGGGAATGCCGTTAGAGGCTATGTTGAACCAACACAATCACAATTATAGTTTAACTTTTAATAATAAAGAGTAAAGTAAAGACGCCAATTCACTTTCCCTATCGCAATCCCTTATTGATACTCTCCAGTTGAACGTCACTTCCAATCTGTTTTCAATCATCCCAATTCCTTACTTATCATTGTTCCTCATGCAGTGTTAATTATCCCTATGACATTTGCATGCATTATGCTAATTATCATATATCCGCACAATTTCCAACAGTGACAACCCTAATAGTACGATACTTTCATGAACGAGTGAAACACCAGGGAAAGGGATTGACATTAAACGAAGTTCGATCAAGTGGGTTCTGGATCATCGGTGGTTCGTCTGCAATTTCGCATCTAATTTCTACCTGTGTCACATGCAAGCGGCTTCGTGGAAGAGTAATCGAACAAAAAATGTCGGACCTCCCGGAGGATCGTACGGAAAGCTGTCCACCATTTACCTACTGCGCGGTTGACTATTTCGGTCCGTTTATCGTGAAGGAAGGACGAAAGGAACTCAAACGATACGGAGTTCTTTTTACGTGCATGGGCTCTCGAGCAGTTCACCTCGAAACGGCAGCTTCCCTTGATACTGATTCATTTATCAATGCTCTTAGACGGTTCATAAGCAGACTGGGCCCTATTCGCCAGCTCAGAAGCGATCAAGGCTCAAATTTTGTCGATGCTCGCAGAGAGCTCATGGAAGCTCTAGCTGCGATGGATCACCAAAGAATAAAGTTGAAGCTGTTAGAAGAAAGCTGTGATTGGTTTACGTTCAAGATGAACGTACCATCAGCAAGTCATATGGGTGGAGTGTGGGAACGTCAAATACGAACTGTTCGGGCGGTTCTCTCTTCTCTGCTGCACAACAACGGAATCCAGTTGGACGATGAGTCGCTAAGGACTTTAATGTGTGAAGTTGAAGCTATAGTTAACTGTCGACCGTTAACAGTAGACCAACTAGCAGATTCGGACTCACCAGAACCATTGACACCGAACCATCTTCTCACGATGAAGTCGAAAGTCATCCTACCACCTCCAGGTATATTTGAATCCCCGGATTTGTACAGCAGAAAACGGTGGAGACGTGTGCAACATTTGGCGAACCTTTTCTGGACGCGCTAGAGAAAGGAATTCCTTCTAAGTTTGCAACATCGGCAGAAATGGACGGAGACTCGTCAAAATCTACGTGTCGGTGATATCGTCCTTATGAAAGAAAAGGACGTACCAAGAAACAAATGGGAACTAGCTCGTGTCGCAGCAGTCTATCCAAGTGATGACGCAAGGGTTCGAAAGGTTCAAGTTGCCGTCGCAGATCGAAGTATTGGCGAGGATGGTAAAAGAAGAACACCACTACGCCTTCTAGACCGACCAGTGCAGAAATTGATCTTCCTGATGTCAAATACACTACAGCCCGGTAGTATAATGGTGAGTGAGAAGACCGAGGGAATCCCAACCGAGGAGCCTCAAGAATAAAGATGTCGTGGAACAGAACGGGTATTTTCATTTCGAAACATTCAATAAAGGTTTATTTAGTTAAGTTTAGTGAAATATTAACGTTCTATATTTCAGGGGAGCCATGTTAAGGACTTATGACACTCCCCTTGTTGTGTTAGCTTATCTTTAGACACAGTGCCAGCGTCGCATCTAATGTATGTCTTTGTACGTTGATCGGCCCCGGGGGCTATAACGCAAGGCACGGACTACGTATGATTAATAATAGTTTTAGTTTGTGTGAGATAGTCACAGAAGTAACACCTGTATCGTTAGTTGGTGCGTACTTAGTAAAATTTGTTGTTAAAGTGGTGAAAGGACTAGTTCAGCGCTGTGGGCAAAACGGGACTGATATGTAAGTGACATTTCATGAAACTTTGTTGGTTTAGTTCTAAATTATGGTTTTGTTAATACGCTCTGTTTGCATGTTCACCTTATGTTTAATTATAGTCGCATGCATTTATGGTGTCCTGTGTGCAGCGTACTGCTGTTTTCTTTTAGATTGCATGTATTCTTGAAAGATAGATATTTGTTTTATAATGCAAGCTATAGTTATTTAAGTTTTCCTATATGTTGTATTTCAGTTTACGATTACAAATCAATATAACCTCCACGTCTCGAGTGTAATTCGTTGGTTATAACGTCGAATCACCGTTAGCCATCACATAAGGCTTTCTCTGTGGTTTTAGTCAATTTCGTGATCCGTAAAGTAGTCCCAATTTGAACTCGGTGTTTCGATTTTACTTCGTGAATTTCGGCGAAGTAACAGTCATATTCCAAAGTAAAAACGCATATTACCAATCTTGTATATATATTCTCATTAATAAACTCTTTACAGGCGATAACTTACTAAAAAAACTCTGCTTTCGCAGGCAATAATGAAAACAGTTAAAAAGTTTGGTGACGGACTTAAATAACAATTCTACACAAAGAAAATGGTTCCACGTTCATGTTCATGGGTTTTTAACTGTTCAACAGGAATAAATTTCCATACATTTATCATAATTAGTTTAACAGTCATTACAGAAACTGTTTTAGATACACTGGAATCTCTAGGCCAAAACTTAACTTTAGTCTTTGATTTGGTGAAAGAGAAGGCAAAAAGTATTGGAAAGGATCTGTTGATACACCAGTTTCCAGAATAAAAGAGAGGTGGACAATCCAGACTTCTGTCATGCTGGGAGAAGTTTGTTCTTACATTAGTAAGAACACGAAAGGGTTTTGATGTTCGCTTCCTTGCTGATACTTTTGGAATCAGCGTTGGCCAGGTGTCTCGTATTTATAATACTTGGATTATATTCCTCAGAAGAGCTATATTTCTTGTTCTTCCATGGCCAAGTCAAAGTGAGATAAAAAGGGTGCTACCACAGCCCTTCAAAAAAATTTCCTAATATCCGGATAATCATCGACTGTTGTGAATTTTATATACAAAAACCAGTTATTCCGGAAAGTCAAAAAAATACATGCAGCAATTACAAAAGCTACAATACAGTAATGTTACTGGTTGGCATTACACCTACTGAGATCATTTCATTTCTTCCCCCACTTTGGACAGGGATTACTTCAGGCAAAGAGATGGTTAAAAATTCAGGTTTGAGTGTCTGTTTAGAAGAGGGTGATGCTGTAATGGCAGATAAGGGCTTCCTAGACATGGATTTACTTGCCTTTAAGAAAGTCCAACTTATTTCTCCAGCATATTGTAGAGGACTTGACTTTCTGCCAATGCAGTACCCACACTCATCGAGTTGCTGCCTTGAGGTCACATGTTGAATGCTCAATATTAAGACTTAAAGACTTTCTTATTCTCTTGGGAGTTATCCTATTACTATTAAAGCTGATCGTATTGTCTTTGTTTGTGCTGCCTGGTCCAACCTTTAAAAGCGACTTATCAAGTAAACAACTATATTTTAACAGTATTACTAAAACATTTTAATTATTAGTTTATTAATATCATGTGTGCTGTGATGGCTGAAAACAATATTATAGACAGATTGATATTGTCATTCATAAGAAAAATCAAATCAATGGTGACCTTGTATTTTACAAGCTATTCAGAAATTCTCATTGTTGTCTTGAACTTGCAATAATAGTGCTGGAATTATTCTTTCACTGTAGAATAATTTAACAGTACTGCTTTGCAAACCTTGTGAGACATTTTCATAGAAAAACCCAGAACTATTAACAAAAGATTTTTTTTAGGGGGGGGAGCGTGAACCAGCACACTTTTATTATATTTTTGTATTACAAAAAATGGGGTACCGTAACATTGACCATCCAGATTGTTCAAAAAATGAGATCAGTATGAAAAAAGGAAGTGTGCTGGTTCACATTTGCATGTCATGTGACCTTAATTAAAGCAAGTTAATGGCAAACAGGTCACATGTCAGCGTGTGGCTACTGAGCGAAGGAGATGTTACCTGAAGCTTTGGTTGAGCCGACTGAGTGAATTTGAACTTTGCGTTGTGATGGTGGTGTCATGTTCGGCGAATGACGTCATAGCAGGGTCAAAGGTGTGGAGAAAAGAAACCCGACGGTAGTTGTTGACGAAGGTAGTTTTAAAAAGTAAATAAGTAACAATTGAGTAGTGGTCTGGATGTCATAAGTGGTCTGGATGTGAAGCATGACGGGTGTGTATTTTTGAGCTCCATTCAAATTGTACTGTTTCTGTACGCTTTACATCATGTTCAAAGGAATTCTACCTTTGGAGTTGCCGGGAAACGTTCCAACTGCTGCTAGTTCATTTTTTGTGAGTGAATTATTGATGTCTAGCGAGATATCAAAGTCGAAGTTTAAATCTAAACCAAAGACAAAACCAAGTGTTTCATCAAGAATGGAAAAGTTAACTAAAGCCTGCAAGATATTTCAGTGCTGCCTTCTGGCTATGTTTCTTCTAGCTGGCGATATTAATCCAAATCTTCTCTTCTAAACAAATCCTGGCTGGTCCGATTCGGCTCTGTTATCTCCTGGTTTAAAGATAGCTCATCTTAACATTCGAAGCCTACCGAAGCATATTGATGAATTAAAATTGTTGATAATGGACAATCCGTTTGATGTCTTATGTCTCAGTGAAACTTGGCTTAACGCTACATGGTCGAACAGTGAGCTGCATATCGATGGGTATAACATTATTAGGACTGATCGAATTACTGATCAAAAAGGGGGAGGCACTGCAATCTATTACAACATAAAGTTAAATGCCCGGCAGCGAACAGATATTAGCCAAAATGTTGAAGCTTGTTGGCTTGAGATTACTCTTCCTAACAAGAAAAAAGTACTGGTTTGTTCAATCTACAGACCACCAAACGAAGACTATAAGACTTTTAAAAACGATGTCGAAAAATCTTTTGAAAAAACGTCGGATGAAGGTTACGAGACCATATTATTAGGGGACTTTAATCAAGACATGCTCCCAAAGAGACTATCTACAGAAGCAAGAGATTTGCG